TTTTTAAATAAAAGCTGGATACCTGCTATGTTTGTAGAGCATGGTTTCAGTGCGGCTTGCACCATGCTTAGGAAATCCTGGGTATTTTCAAATAGGAACGGCGATTGCAACGCTCCGAGATCTGTTCAGCCCTGTGCCTACACTAGCAGGCGTCTCGAGCCTCGATTGGGGTCTAGAGTCAGTCCAGTGGTTTCCCCATGTGCGGCTCGCCATGCTTTATATCAGTCTTAGGGGAGAAGGTGGGAAGCTCGAGGCATAGCCGTCCTGCATTCATGACGGGGTTGGGCTAGAGGACACGAGATCCCTTCCAGCCCTCTGAATCCATTTGAAAATGGCAAGGAGCCCATTCCGACATAGAAAACAAGCTGCATAGCCGGAGCAACACCCAAACACATCTGCCGAACATCACTGCGCGAGACAAATCCTCCCCCACCCCCCGAGTATTTGCTGTTACTGCAGCGGCTGATCATCATACCCGAGGAAAACTCTTTACTGTATTTATATCAGTATAACTTCTTGCACTCCAGATGTTCCCCAAGGCAATCCGAGCTGTGTGTTTTCCCCATGTCTTTTCTTTCTTTTCTGCCGAACCTTCTTCTGTTTTTTCAGCAGTGTTGCCAGAGGCATTAGCTTTAACCCCCAAAGCCCTGCATTATGCCCCCCCTTTTTTTTTTTTTTTAAGCTCATATTTGGCTTTTTTATTTTTCATTGGGATTTTGCCACGGTTTGCTGTGTAGCTGCAGCATAGCCCTTGCCGATGTATGAAATGAGTCATCGCAGTTGTGCGTGTTAATGGTTTCTTAAAAAAAAATGATTTTCTCTACAGCACATGCCATGCCCTTGAGCCCAGAATGAACCAACTTGTTGTTGACACCTCGCTCTGTGTGTGTGTGTGTGTGTGTGTGTGTGTGTGTGTGTGTGTGTGTGTGTGTGTGTGTGTTGTTTTTTTTTCTTTTTCTCCAGACTGCTTATCCACCGACCCATTACATTCGCCGAGTCCCTCAGCGGAAAATCCACTATTTCACAGGCTTGCAGGTCCTCCAGCTCTTCATCCTCTGTGGATTTGGGATGTCGCCGTTACCCTACATGAAAATGATTTTCCCTCTCATTATGATAGGAATGATCCCAATCAGGTAAGATGCTCTCTGAGCGGGCGATATTTCACTGCGAGGCCTCCCCGGGCTGCTTTTGACTTCTGGCTGGGCAGCCCCTTGCTCTTCTGAGAGTTGGTCGTCATCCTTGACTCTGTTCTCGGTGCTGGGTTGTGTCCTAGGGTGAGGCTCCTGCTCTGCCTCTTCTCTCTTCTCCCCTCCCCGCGCGATGGCCTTTGGCCAATATGGTGGTCCATAGGAACCCAAATTAAATGTTGCCTTCATGATAATGCAGCATCAGCTTCCCACCTGTCTCGAAGGCATAAGATTGGTTGCTAAGAACATTTGGAAAATGTCTTTGAGGAAGATGGAAAAAATTAGGGCCCAATCCTGACCTATTGATACAGCTCTCAGGATTGCTGGGATCTCCAGTTAGATCCAGATAAGACTCCAACAGGCAGCTTTTTATTTATTTATTTTTTTAAGGGCTAAAGCTCACCAAAATCAGTGGAAGTTCAAACTCGGAGTCCCTTTTAACCATCTGGCCCTAAGTAACCCTCCCTTCCCTTTTGCTGTTGCCCTTATTTGCTGGTTTTCCAGAAGAACTGAGGCTTACTTGCCCCAGCCGAGTACAAAAAAAAAAAAAAAAGAAAGTTTTTCCTAATACCTACTAGCGTGTCTGCAATGCTCCACATGGTGCAGCATTGTAGTGTAGTGTATAGGTGTATCCTGCATTTCAAAGCTAGACTAGTGTCAGCCTTACTGACCTAGCACTTGTCTCTGTCCACCTGAAGAGTTCCCTTGGGCTGGTTGATGAGTCTAGCTCCCATATGTCTCGGATGCAGTGTTGTGCCTAGCAGGGGTCTGTAGCCCTGTTGGTGTGGCTAATACAGGGTAAGTCTCGAGAGAGGGCCACGTTTGTATGGTCACCCTGCCTTATTGCCCAGCATAGCTCTGGCATTTCCTACACACACCCGATCTTCACTGTCCTCTGATCATGTGCGTTATGGGAACGTCTCCAGTCCCCAACCAAGTCTGCGACTCCGCTTCGTCGTAGCGATGGCCCCGGCCCCAGAGAGACTAACACGGGGGCAGGAAAAAGGAGAGAAAATCACTCTCCCTTTCTTAAACTTGGGGAAAGTGAGATGCATGACAAGTCAAGCGACTTGCCAGGGGCCCCACACGTCCTTTTGTATCGGAGCTGGGGACTGCGAGTCCCAGCCTAATGGCTTAGCTGAGAGACTCACCACGATCCTCTTTCCTTTTCTGGAGGCAAAACACAATCTTCACCTATTGTGTTGGACCCACCCACTGCAATCCCCTTGCATAGGAGGATTTCCAAGTTTCTCTCTGAACAGTATCTTCCTTTTTTTTTTTTTTTTTTTTTTTTGGAGATTCTCTCCATGGTGTCTAATTTAGAGAAAAGCAAGCTTGCATTTCCAAGGCATACCCCCCTCCCCTCCCTTTAAAGCCCTTTTATTTTGAATCAGATCAATTTGTGGAATTCAGGGCATTTTTCTGCAGAGCCTGACCTTCCAAATTCCTTTCCTGGCTTTCTTTTGAGAAAGTATTTCCATATTCAAAGCGGAGTTGTTACTGCTGCTGCATTTTGTTTATTTAAATAGCTAAAGTAACTTCCTGTGCTGTTCTGGAGGCAGAGGCATTCGTGCACAAGTGGCTAGTTGAATTTATTAAGGGGAGAGACTTTTCAGCTGGCCTGGAGCAATGCTTAGTGTTTGCTTTGCTTAAATGGGTTTCTTTGAATGGGCCAGATCGGGACCAGAGCCCTTCTGTGCCGTGTACTGTACACCCTATTTACTGACGTACCACATGCGTCTTCCCCCACCTCCTAAAAAAAAAACCCCAAAAACATCATCCCTCCAATATTTCAGTGCATGTCTTAAGCAAGAAAGCTCATCCCTTTTTTTTATGGTGTATAGCAGGGTAGAGTAGAACAAGCAGATGGTGTGACTCTCCTTCCACTTCTCCTTGGGGTGGCAAACAGCAGGGGCAGAGGCCTGTGTTAACCCTTCCTTAGCCACTGAGTAGATTTTGACTGAGGAGCCAGTGAGCTGCTGCATGCAGTCTGCTGCATTGTGAAAAGACTGGTGAAGTGGAAACAGCCTTTGTTATTCACAGGAACATTTATATACAAAAGCTGTTTATAGTTGGGGGGGAATAATAATTCTTGCTCCAGCCCTTGCAAGGGTCTGGGGCCCAGCTTTGAGCACCAGGGAGTTCCCACTGCCTCACCCAGGCTGTCTCCTGGGATGCCGCACTTCCTGGACACGGTTTCCAGGAGGACTTGCTCTTTCCGAGTTGGCCTGGAAAACATCACGTTTTATCTGGGGGCTTGTGGGAAACTATGGGGAGACCCTCCATGCCTCAAAGACCCTTTGGAGACCCGACGCAATGGATAGGTGCAGAATACCATGGAGGTGGCCAAAGAGGTAGATGCCTGGATGCAATAGCTGCACTGCTGTCTTTAGCAATTATACCAGGGTGTGTGAAATGCGGTGCCTCTACAGCCTGAGCACCTTCAGGTTTGTGGCCTCAGCTTTCTCATTTAAAGGAATTTTCTAGGCCGAACACCTAGAAGCCAAAACCCCCCCCTCAAATTATCCATCCATCTCATCCCCATCTATCTATTCCCAGAGTGTCAGATCTATCTATCTCATCCCCATCTATCTATCTCATCCCCATCTATCTATCACCAGTACATTGATTATGGGCCCAAGACTCAGGTTTTGGTTTGCATTTTCTGAATGCAGGGGTGAGGAGGAAGGTGTATCAGCACTGATTTAGGAACAGAGAGCTGTGTTAGTTTGCTAAGTGCACAGTAGGGACAAAGAAGTTAAAAATGGAGAGGGTCTGCTGGGCACGCACGTGTGGTCCACCTTCCTCTCCCAGTGAACACTGCTTTGACAGCTAATCCTGGGCGTTTGTTCCCAGAGTTTCTTCCCAACTGTGCTGTTTACAGACCTCAGCAATTATGAGCAGAAATACCTGAGCATGGGTTAGTTGTTTTCTTTACCTTCAATTTGCTCATAATATACGTATTGCCCCAGATGCATCCAGCTCTGAAGATCCTGACAAAGGATGAACCAAACCCTTAATGCAGTGAGAACAAGGAACTAATCCTCTTTCGTTTCCTCTTAGGTATAACCTGCTTCCTAGGATCATTGAAGCAAAATATTTAGATGCTATGGACGCAGAGCACTGAAAACGAACCTCGGCTCTCGGGACAGTTAGCTGCGTTTCAGACGGAAAGGACCCGGCAGCCTCGCTGAGATGTAGAAAGACTTACCTGAAGTTCTCTTGGCTACAACTCTCCTGACTCCTCTTTCTGCTCTAGTACGGCACTCAGTGACAGACTATCAAAGACCAAACGAGCTTTCAAGTGTCAAACCCAAACCGTATTGGATTGGCAGGCCAGTGCTCTTCAGAGATTTGAGGCAAGCAAGCTTTATGGAAATGTCACCTTCTACATCCCCCTCCAAACCGGAAATCCCAAAGATCGACCTTCCTATCTGGATTGCACTTTGCTAGGGTTGCTACGTTCCCTTGTTTAAAGGGGCAATCCCTCTTTCTTTATTTTCTTTTTTTTTTTTAAATACACAGGGTCCCACTTCCCAGAACACTCTTGGTGTGTAAGGATGGCAACTGACCCTTATTTTACAGCATTGCAGTATAATTTGGGGCTAGGATGCAGCGTCCCAAATATCTACTCTTCTTAAGCTGACCTTCCAAGTGGGGTAGCTGATGCCAGAAGGGATGTCTAGCCAGCGCTTCACACTGGTTGATTAGGGAAAGGGTTGGAATTGGAAGCATCTGGGGGTGGCTTTGTACCAGTTCATCTAAGGCTGTAAAGTGTGTTGTATTTAATTTCCTCAAATGTACCCGAAATGCTCAGAAGCCGGATTGGTGTTGTGATGCTGACGGAGAACTCGCAGCTGGGTCTCAGCCGCTCGGGAGTTGTTGGGGATCTGCTTTATACCCTTCCTT